ACCAATTAAGGCACAATATGCTTGTAAGTGTTACTCAAAAATGTTTTGTTGTTAATTCTCACCTTTTTATGAATGAAATAACACATGATTACCAAAGTACAGCAGAAGAAAAACAGGTACTGAGTAAAAATATGTACCGTAATTTGATGCATAAATACCGGTAATGATAAGATAGATGTTCACAGTTCCAACAGACATTCAATCTTATTAGTACTTTGTGATGGTACTTTAAACAACAATAAGGAAAACATAAGATATAAAATTTATCTAAGAAGCAGTAAAAAAGCAAAAATATAAGAAAATGTTTCACCAAATAAAAGACATTAAAAAACAACCCTTTACACCAGCTCTTTATACAAATTTTAAAGATAATCTTTTGCTCATATTATTATTTCTATATCATTTAATATACCAATAATAGCATTTTCAGTCGTTTGTACAACCACTGCCAATAGCAACAGACAACAAAATATTTTGTTTGCCAGAGCAAAATTTTTCTTCCTTTTAAAGTTTCAAACAGAATATTTTGATATTATCATTAAGGTTAAAGTGTGGTAAAGAGACCAAGATCACCTGGTACAAAATATGTACTAAAAGATAAAAATGATATATCTTGTAACCGACTATAAAAGCCAACAAATAAAATATAACTGCAAATATACTGTCTTGTCTACGTTCATCTACGATAGAAAACGAAACTTCAGTAAAGTTAGTAAACCATTTAAATTGCTTTTCAAAGGGAAAAACATACTGATAAGATATGCTCTGCCCCCTTAATTGTTCTTTTTTAAGTAGATATATTACCACACTAATTACATGAAAGAGTTATTGTAAAATGATACGAGGCAACGCTTGTACACGACCCCAATCAATCAATCATTCACGCTCAATATCATAATATTCTTCAATAAGTTGAAAAGAAGCTCATTTTCGTATCCATTTTCATAACAATTATCTATTAATTTAGATTTTCAATACCCTATTCAAATGATGCAAATGATTAAGAAAGTTATTACATTTTTAGACTGCAATCAATTTCTTTTTTGTATTAAATTTTGATGTTTACAAATTTTCAATCAACCTGTCAAGTTTGAGATTCATTTCTTTCATAAAGAAAATCACAGAACCATTATATTTTAAATGAGAAATCAAAATACATTAAAAGAGTTTGATAAAAGGACACCATTTATCAAATAATTGTGTGGATGGCATGAGCTATCTACTTTATTAACAATATACAATATACCATTATCAAATATAAATAGTCTTTTTTTTCCTTCTTTTTTTTCCTTTAAGCAATTAAATTACAAAAAAGGTGTTAAAGAATATTAGAAATGTGAGTAAGGTGGGGCAATGCACACCCTAAAGCAATATAAAATTAAAGAGACTATTAACTCAGACTTGTAATAGATATAGAACTATATATTTATGTTATGTTATATTACCATTATCAAAATGGCTTGTTTTCCGTAATATTCAAGCACAACTATATATAGCATGATAAATGAACTTAAATGAAATTTGATGTGAATCATTTCTTTATAAAATACATTCATGTAAAGATATATTAAAAACAGTATCACATAAGTATTCAGAGTTTTTTTTTTTTTAAAAAAAATGCTCATTCTAAAATTACAAAGAGCCATAACTTAGAAATGCAAATTTGATTTTGATAGTATTTGTATGATGATAATTATTTCTTTACTAGAATATTATACATTCATATTAACTTTTTGTAAAATGTGGCTCAAAACTGTAGTTTTACTTTCGAAAATAATGTTTTAAGTAACAAAGGGCCATTTAAAAAACAACAACAACAACAAAAAAAAAACCCTTGGTGGATTCTGATGCCACTTAGTGATCCTTATTTTCCCTATTCATATAAATATTTCTGCCAATTATCAAGAAAATTAGACATAGATAAATGTATGTATTCAGACAGACAGACGGATGTACCGTGACAACGCCATTTCAATATCCTCATTCTGATTTTATTGGCAGGTGATAATTACAGACACAAGGTTAACTTTAATTTCCTGACATGTTCTTCCAATGACAAGCCTTTCAAAGACAGCTCTTAAATAATGTTTATATTGACTGATCAAAACCACTAAATGCAAGACCATTCACTATAAGGTAAGCTAACTAGCTGTTCAACTCTCTTTTATGACATGATTAAATTAATAAGAGAAAAGGGCACTGCTTTAATTCAGGACAAAAATCACTGGACTACACATATACTTGTATATTATCATGATTTATAACATACATGATTCCTAAAGAAAAGACTTTCAATTGTTACTAGCAAACTGTCTACCTGACACAAATGTCCAAACTATATAATGTTCAGTCAGTTTACAGTGTGGCGGCGTGGCCGAGTGGTAAACATGTGTGACCGCCCAGGTTCAAACCCTGTTAGAGGCAAGCCATTGTTTCCTTGAGCAAGAAACTTTACATTCATTGCTGAGTACTGGTAGGTTCCAGGAACAGATTCGAGAGTGTTTCAATAAGCTTACAGCTTCCAACACAATCAAACTAAAATAAATTCAGTTTATTATATTTCGTGCAACAATATATGTTGCAATCTAACAACACTGGTTATAAAGTTGCAAAAAGGACAAGACAAATTTAAACAGAATATATAGATTAAAAGAAAATCTCAGAAGAAAAATCAAGCATGACATTGGTATCTATAACAGTGCTCTGGTTCAAAAAGTTATCTTGATATATGAAAGTCCTTTTACAAATAGTTTGACATCATCTAAACATGTGCTCTATGCTCTTTTGCCATTATTGTATCAGAGACATAAGAAACTATCTACCTTGCAAAATATATGATGCTGCCTTGGTCCTATTTAAGAAGAACATAAATATTACACAATTGTTACACATTCATTTTAATCCTACTATTGTTCAAGAGCTGACATATGCTGCCTGAAATATCAGTATTACATTGTTTAGCAGTATGTATGCAGATTTGTTAATGTTTTTATCATTATGGATGTTCTTTTCACTGCTATAACTGTCATATAGACTCAATTAGTAAATACATTTCATTAATAAAGAAACAATTCTTTTGAAATGTTTCCCTACACACTTAAGTGAAAGTTTTCTTTTTATCAACAGTGAAATGTATGATCAATGAAATATTTCTGAAAATCTGAGAAAGGTGTTAAATTGGCTACAAAGAAGTGTATTACATAAAAAAAATACATAATACATTAGCTCTGATAAACTATTGTAGTGTGCAAGTGTTTCACATCTAATGATATCATTACCATCATTTCTTAATTTCAATTCAGTAAATACCAGTCTTATTATTTTATCTCGAATGTATATGGCTACTAAAAATCATCACCATAAAAAACAATGCTGTCAACCCGTGTCAACATGACATTTCCACTTCTTACATAAATAATCTTTCAAATGATGAAACTACAAAAGCTAAATAAAGATGCATAAACAGATATAAAAGAAATAGTATTGTTGAAGAAAAAAAGGGTACAAAAATAATGCACATATAACATCATCAAATAGGATAGATAGATAGATAGATTAGATAGATTTATTTCGGCAAAGGAAGCATATACATAGTTGACAATATAACATAGGATAAAATAATGAGCATTATTAAATACTATATCACATACGAGTAAAACTATGACATGCTCACCAAAACCAAGGATAACACAAAAAAGGGCAAAACAGCTCTTATTTCCATTGTGGTCCTTTGTATTGGCGGCATGACATAGAGAGGCAAACCTAAATATAATCATGTTTAAAAATACTAATAAATCATACAAATGTATATCACAGTCAAATCTTGAGTTAATGATACTCTTGTTTACAGCTAGGATTTAAAACACATTACTAAAATTGTAATAAGATAAATAGCAGACAATTTAAAATCCTGAGCCGAAAAATATAAAAACATGTTTAAATTTTTTTTTAAATACTGTTCATAAGATGGCTTTTGATGGCAACCTTAAAACTTTGTAACCTGTTGATCTCCGTTAACTTTACAGGTAAATCATTCCATAATTTAATACCAGAGAAAGCAAAGGATTTAGAACCCTGGCCTTTGACCTTAGGTAGACAATATCCACCCTTTTGACTAAGTCTTGTACTATAATTATGAATGGAATCTTGTGAAATAAAGTGTTCAGACATGTAATCCGGAGATAGGCCATTTTTTATCTTAAAAACATGACACAACATTATCTGTTCAACTCTTTTGTGGACCGGTAACCAGTTCAGGGACTTAAAGTGGGATGGGTCAATGTGGGCTCTGGAGTCCAAGTCAAGTACAAATCTCATTATTTTGTTTTGACAAGTTTGTAACTTATTTTTTAAAGACTGTGTCAAGCTATTATACCAAACAGAGCATGCGTAATCATAGTGACACTGAATAAGAGACATAACCAGAAGTTTCTTGGTATGCTGAGTAAGAAACTCTTTCTTGCGGTAAAGAAATTTTAACCGAGAGTTGGCCTTCTTAAGAACAGACTCGGCCATGGCGCAAATTGACAGATTTTGGTCTATAGTAATCCCAAGATACTTGATAGATGAAGTTGATTCAATGGATGTACCAGAACAGGTTATATGCAGGTTAGATTGTGACCTAAGCTTTTGCCTGGACCCAAATAAAATTGACTCGGTTTTACCCAAGTGCAATGACAACTTATTGTCCACTAACCATTGGCTGACCAATTCCATATCATCTGTCAATGCCTTTTCAACAACAGATAAACTTTTACCAGATACAAGGATACCAGAATCATCAGCATACAAAAGCAATTTATTTTTGACCACAGCTGACATATCATTTACATAAATTTGAAATCTGGATCATAACAGATATAGTCATGATAAACATTAATAAGCAACAATACTTAATTGTTCACTTTCAGGACAACATAGAAGTATTTAAATCACTTGTAACATCATAAACAAAATAAAACGCTATACATAATTGTATGTTATTTAAAAACATTTCCTACCTTCATTTTCACTGAGGCTGTCTGACCCCTGGTTACTATATGAGGCATTCTTTCCTAGGACAGGATGATTTATCGTCCTTGTTTCACTACGTGCAGCAGGGCTCTTCAACCCAGAAGTCGGTCTGGAATTAGGTGCTGATTCACCACCTGACGATGCTGAAGACTGTGATGACATGCTAATACTACGGAACGTTTTCTTACGATCTTGACTTGGACGGGGTGAAATACTACGATGATTGACAGATGCTGGTTCCCTTGGTGATTTATTCACAGGAAACTTTGGAGCAGGGGATGGTGACCTTTCACCTCTTGGTGAAACAGGTGGCCGGTTACGACTTTTATCCACAGACTGTTCAACACTGTCTCTACTAGAACTTCCTGTTAAATTTTCCTTCCTTCTCTCTTCTATCATTCTCTTTCTATTTATCTTTTCTGTAGAACTAGAACTTACAGCACTACTCCTTTTCTTTGGAACTGGCACTTCTGGAGAATCGGCTTTTTCTACCTCTATTTCCGGGTTTGAGCCATTTTTGAGAGCACCTTGAGGTTTCAATGGTATCACATGACAATAATCAAACACTTGATTTCCACATCCTTTCTCTACTGGCCCAGAAAAGACTAGTTCAGTACCAACAAATACCCTTACATCTTTAACCCCTATATCAAGTTCCTGTAACAGATAAATGTATTCTGATTCAATGTTTTACCATATAATTTCATTAAGTTTAAGAATTTTTTATTATTTAAAAAAAAAACATTATGAAAATTCTCTATAACTTAAATGCCATTTATTTTCATATTACTATAATAGAAAGATTTTTGACAAATCCAAAAGAATTAGATACACATTCTTTTCCGATACATATAAGATTAGTTTTTTTTAATGTAATCAGTACATGTAAGTTGTTATGCATTAAGGACTTCTAAAAAACAACAAATATTGAACACATTTATTTAGATGGTAAAGAGGCTATACATACAGCTATACTCTTATTAAAGTTCCATATTTTCATCTGAGATAGGGAGAACACCTCCCCTGATTTTGGATTTGGATTTCTAACATTGATCATAAACTCTACTGGTCTTCTAGCATGATACCGGCAACTCCACATATTCCTCTCCTTATTTGTCTGTAGAAAAAAAATATGTACTGTAATATCTTAAAAATTCAGTAATCATAACAGCCAGTTACAATTTTTTGTACCATGTTAGTAAATAAGTATTAAACTTTCTTGTTATCAGTCCCATTCGAATAATTAACTTCTGATAACAACTTTTAGTTTAAAGAAAAGGATATAATCTTGTGGAAGTTTTCATAACCAAATATTTGCAACAAAAGGGTAAAAAAACTTTCATCTTTAAAACAAATGTATATATATGTTTGGTCTTACATTGCTATCCCACTTTTCTCTAGTGCAAACATAACTTTAGTTTTGTTTCTATGAATAAATGCTGATAATAAGAATGAAATAATTTTGCACACATGAAATAAAACAATTTTTCACATACCTTGAATTTTCCATTAAAGAGTAGATCAAGAGTGCCCTTACATTCTTCAGCACCATGAACTGTGACATCAGCAGCGCTTATAGGTAACAAAGTGTTGTTCTGGTCATACACCTGTATCTCAGTGAGTCCTAGTCGCATAGAATGACCCCAGTTAGAGGTCACCTCTATATGTATCTCTATTACACTCTCATCCTCTGACGACTTCTTTAATATAAAAAAACAACAACGTATAAATGACCATACACAATGTGATACACAACTATAATACATGAACCACAACAATCATTTGTTATCTTTTTATTAAAGTTTTCTGTAATAAAGTATATAGGAAACTATTGCTAAATTATTAATAACAAATAACGCAAATTAACTTTTAATATATCTTAAATCCTGGGCTTATGTTTTAGAATCAAAATTGATCTTCATAACAAGCAAAAGTTTCCTCTTATGGATTGAACAAAATATCTTATAATAAACCTTAATATCTAAAGTTTAATGTATTTGAATATGTAAAGTTAAGTTACCTTGTTAGTAGATCTATGAACAGCTCTCATTGGACCATCAGAGGAAGTTCTGGGTTTACTGCGAGGTTTAGGTATTGGATTTTCCAGACTTTCTGTGACAACTGACTTCTCTATCTTACCTAGCATGTTCACCAATCGTCTTTGATGTCTACAATAACATCATAGTAAAGTTTCAAAATTGCCTTAAATTTCCTCAGTAAAAATATACTATAAGCAGGACATTTTTTTCTCTCTCTTATTATATTTGAAAGATATGTTTGGGAGGTTAGGCTCATTACATTGCACCAACAAAGAAGAGATCATATGGAGACTTTCCAGCTTTACTGGCCGAGAAAGCACTTAGGGGGCCCTCCATGCATTATTTCAGACATGAACAAAAGTACCAAAGTAGACCCACTGACATTCCATAATCCAGCAGGATAACTTCATCACATGAAAGAATCCAATGTCTCTGCTAGGATTCAAACCCACAGCAGATAGGGGGCAACCTTAACCACTCAGTCCAATGACCAAGACATGACAAAGACTAATGTAAGTAAAATTACACTGTTCAAAACAAAACTAAAGATTCATATAGTTTTTACATTTGAACAAGACTTAACATGGACTAATATTAACACATTTATAGACAAATGACATTAATATTAATATCATTACACTACTCTAATCAAAGAGTAAACACTTGTTTCAATAAACAATGTGCAGTATACAAATACATCATTTAATATTAATTTTATACCTTCAAAATTTTCAATTTAAAAATCAAAATCCATTTATCTACAATGGACAAAGTAAACAGCAATTTACAACACCAAAATATTCTACAATTACTTTGGTATGATTTCTATTAAAGAGGAATCATGTTAATTGTTTTTCAACACAAAATAAATATTCCTTAGTAGGACTATGCTACTTATAAGGCATTAAATTGGCTAATTTCTTTTACCTTGGACTCATCCTCAAAACCTTTTCCATAATCTGATTTATTTTTTCCATTGGCACAAGGGGTTCAGTGCTGCTTGAACTCACACTGGATCTTGGACTCTCTGACTGCCTCACCTGGTGTGACCTTGGTGGCATCTCTGACCGATCATATTGTGGCTTGCTTTTGTTAGATCCTAAAACATTGGGCGAAGACCTCTGTCTTGGTGTCTGTAACAATATATAAATCAATAACAAAACAAATAAAGTAAGTAAAGGGAGGTAATCACTTAGACATTCAATTATCATTATTTCTTCAATTTAACAATAATTTAAATGAACCAGATAGAACTTTAAACAAATATGCATAATCATGTCAGTGCTTTTTGTTTTATCGTTAGTAAACTGACAAATTAACAAGAGCAATTATCTGGAATCAACAAAAAAAAAACCTGTATTAATTACTAAGTACTGTGCCCTGAGCTAAATGTCATTTCCTTTTTGGGAATGCAAAGTCTATGTGAAATATTGACAAACCTGTTTATGTTTTGAGGCCTGAGCATTTTCTTGTTTCAGGGCAGCCATGACAGCTGATGCCTCGTTGTCTGGGTCAGTCCAAACCTGGTCAGGTGTGCGTCTGTTAGCTGATAAAGGACGTACTGACTTCTTACCTGCATTATCTGTAAAAAGAGCTGAATATCTGAATCTAAAGGTGAATTAAAATAAATATTACAGAAAAGATGAATATTTACTTTGTGGAAAAGATAAAGGTAACAGTCTTTCAAAATACCTATTTTTTCTGAAACATTAACTCCATTACCTGTTATGTTTTAGCTACATATATATATACATAATTTACTTAACTCTTAATATTGAGGAAAGGTTTATGATCAATGTATGTTTATATTGGATCATGTATGGACATTTCACTTAAATGTTACAGTGACGCAGGAAGAAGTCTCATTTACATTCAAATGGAGTTTGTTTTGAAAACAGACTCTGTGTAAAACAGTGCCTGGGTGATTTTGTTTAATGAATGTTCTTCATGTTTGTTTCTTTATTATCAAAACTCTATGTGAAAAAAATATACTTGAACAGATATACTTTATAACTATACCCATACTTTCAGAGAATTATAAAGTGATAACATATAATGATAAACATACCTGAAAGCAGTGTTTTAGCAGACTGTGACCGTTCTACAACTTTGGGAGGGATTTTGTTTTGTTTCTCGGAAGAAGGTCTCTGTCGGCCAATATTACTGCTGTACTCTCCTTCATCTAAATCCTTCCTACGTGCTGCACTTAAATTCTTCTCTATTTCTGAAAATGTATATATTATTTATACAGTGTATCCTAATACAAAATTCTGTATGAAGACACATATTTCACCTTAATTGTTATTGCAGTGTTCATTATCTCTTAATCCAAATTTTGCTTGTTGATTTGTATGAACTTTTATGTTATACACTTAATAAGAATACAAACACGATTACCCTGGTAAAAATGACTTGATACATGAAAGGCAATGCCAAAAATCAAAACTCTAAAAACTTTATTCTATGTTATTAAAATTAGGTAATGTTTCAAATAACAAGAGCTGTCGGTAGGACAGCACGCTCGACTATTCTAAGCGCTTGATAGTATGACCCTCCAATTATGACCCTAAGTGCATGTGTAAAGTTTCAAGTAAATATCTTTGAAGACCTTTAACCTTTAACCAAAATTTCTAAATATCAAAGGGGCAAATAATTCTGCAAATATTGCAGGCAGAGTTATGCAATTTTGCAAACTGATGTACATTGTTACTATAAAAAAGTATTTTAAATTTCAATTGAATATCTCAAGCAATTATTGAAATATTTGACTTTACAAAAAAACTTTAACCGAAATTTCTAAGTTCCAAAGAGGCATAATTCTGTCAATATTGTAGGCATAGTTATCCAACTTGTCAATCTGATGTACCTTGTTACTATAAATAAGTATTGTAAGTTTCAATTGAATATCTCAAGCAATAATTGAGATATTTGACTTTACAAAAAACTTTAACCAAAAGTTATGTTAAAAAGGGGCATAATTCTGTCAATATTGTAGGCAGAGTTATCCAACTTGTCAATCTGATAAACCTTGTTACTATAAATAAGTATTGTAAGTTTCAATTGAATATCTCAAGTAATAATTGAGATATTTGACTTTACAAAAAACTTTAACCAACGCAGACGCCGACGTGGACGCTGACGCCGACGCGACTACAATAGCTCTCATATTCTTCGAATAGTCGAGCTAAAAAGACATATAAATATTTGTACTTTTATTGGATGAGTTTCCAGAACCACCAAACTCTAGTACAATGGTATCATTAGGTTTCATGGTTGGTTTATTGAGGTTAATGTTTCTCCGTGGACTGTCTTCTGGGGAATAGTCATCATCAGATGGAAGATCTTCCTCTACTTCAGGTATAGGTGACTCTGGGATGAAGTCATCTTCACTCTAATAAAAACGTTGTTAGATTTGATACATTATTCAAGGTAAACAAATACATGTAGAAACCTAGGAAATTTCATCTCATTACTACCCGGCGTAACAAATTTGTTATATAATATGAAAATTTATAAACAATTTTTTCCTGATACTTTAATATTGTATGATAACTTTAAATTAATTAGAAGGATTCTTTATGTTTAAATACAAAGTCAGGTGTTTTGAAGTTTAAATGTTTAAAACATTATCAAATAAATTGATCTACACACTTTGAAAAGATAATTATGAAAAATTATTAATCATTACAGAAATTTAACTTACAGAGTTATCTCTTGCTAAACTTTGTCTTATTGTGGCATTTTTCACCAAACTTTGCCTCAAAGTCTGAAAATATAAATTTATTTCAAATTTAAAGAATTAGATACATACAATATACATAGGACTGCAATTTGAAGAGTGAATACCAGTACAATATATACCATGGTACAGGGGTCTAGATATCAATTTGCAATAATATTAATACAATCTATTGCTGTATATAATCTTCCAAAACATTAAATGCATGCTAATATGCAAAAAAAATATTGTTATTGAACCACTGAACTGTTTTCTTTTCATTTCCTTATTTTTTTACCTTTTCTCTTTTATTTCATTGGACAAACTTGCTTTAATTATTAAATTTGAATTACCCATAAAATATGATACTACTGCATGTTCACTGAATAAGACTTGCCTAATATTCAAATGTAAGGAATAAATGTACACACATACAGTATATATCTAAATATTTTGTAAAAATAAGAGTGATGAAACACTGTTCATAATTAAATTCAAATTCAATTTACATCTCTTAGTATTTACTTGTTATGCAGTATTATGAAACATTTTCATCCAACTACAAACCTTTAGCTCTTTCATACTGAGAAGTAATTTCTCACTTCCTCCAAAACCATCATCGTCATCATCCGAGTCATTCCTGGTTTGTCTCCCTTTTCTAGATGAAGCTTTTTGTGATTTTCTTGGTGAAGAGTTAGATTGTCTGGAGAACTTGGAGGCATCAATTTCTAGATCATCTCCCTCTGAATCCTGTCCCAGACTGTCCTCCTCACTGTTATAACTATCACTACTGTTAAACATGTCACTTTCTCTAGGAGGAGGTGGTTTTCTCTGTAAAGTATGTTCATAATAAAAATTGTATATTAATTGATTGTATTAGTTTATACACATGTACAAATTTATTTAAGTTTGATTGTGTTGGAAGCTATAAGCTTATTGAAACACTCTCAAATCTGTTCCTGGAACCAACCAGTACTAAGCAATGAGTGTAAAGTTTGTTGCTAACACAAACAAAGGCTTGACCCTGACAGGGTTTGAACCCACGCCGCCAGCAATCCTTAGATTATTAGTCTGATGTGTTAACCACTCGGCCATGCTGCAAATTTATTATATTGCAAATTTTAATTGTGAATATTACCAAGGAAAATAGACTATCATAATTTGAGTACACTATTTTAGTAGAGCTGCTACCTCATTCTTTAGCAATAATGTTAAAATTTCTTCACCAGCAATTAACCTAATTTCATCTAGTAGCAGCTGTTAACAAATACATGTATATGTGACAACTGAGGTATTTAAAGTCATTGACTGATTCTCTTTCATCCATGTACCCATTAACAAATTCAATGCTCTTTTAAACAATACAGAATAATAAATAACCTGTTTTTTTAAGTAAAACTTTTCTCTAGCCATGGTACAATCATTGATATTCATACTGTGGCTGACTAATTAATAATTAATTGTTTTATTGATTATTCACGTAGACTTCCTCAACAGTCAACTTTATCATGGTATGAAAATAACGTAGATACAGATAAGCAACTATTAAAATCAGGCATACACAAACAAGAAAATAGATAAAACTAGACTTACAACAGGTTTCTTATATTTAGACTGAGCTGGAGATTCATCAGCACTATTTTCATCATCACTGCTTCTAAATTCATCAGACTCTTCAGCTGGTTCAAAATCATCAGCATAACGTCCAGACAAAATTTCTACAATTGGATAAAATGTATCAAATATGAATGTTAAATAATACTCACTGAATCATAAATACTTATAAAATCTTGGTCTTTCCAAATAATCAAAATCAAAATAAATTAAGTTGCTCATTTATCAATATCTCGATGGAGAGAGCTTAATACTGATCCCTGCTTGTGGCTCTGACCAGACAAATATTGGTTGCCGAATTTCAGTACTTTTAATTGTAAAGGAACAAGATGAAGAAAATAAATTATATACATGTATGTTAACATAAAACTATAAGTTAAATTCTAGTTATGAATTATGCTTTTACATGTTATTTACATTACTAAATTTACATGGATGACAATATTAAAACTATTACTTGAAAGTGATATATATATAAATACTATCAAATGTTAGCTATAAAGACCTTACCTGGAGCTTTTATTTTTTGGCCTCCTTTTGTTGTACGTATTTCTACTGATGAGTCAACATTCCAATTACGTCTTCTCTCACGTGCACTTGGTGCAGTCTTGGCACGGGACATCTCTTTCTGTCGCTCCAATTCTTGCCGTGTTATTTCTTCGAGGGCTCTGTTGTCCAAAACATTTTGATTCCTTGGGTACTCTGTAACATTTCAATCATAATTTCAAATGAATCACTGGACTATTATCTCTTTTTGATCACAAAAAAAGAATCATACTTTCATTATAATCTAAATAAACGGCACCAGATTTTTTATGTCTATATTCAATATAATAGTTCTCTATTTGGTAGAGATTCATATATTCATTGTAGTTTCTGTTTTATCTGAATAATGTTTTTTTCAATTGCTGGGTTTTATCTCATAGTCATACAAGTAAGTTTATATTTCAAATATAAACATACTTAGAAAAGTATGCTTATATTTGAAATATACACTTTCTTGTATGACTAAGTACAGTACACAATAAGACTATATACTCTTCAATTGGCAAATATTTTTCAGATATGCAGAAGAGAAAAACCAACAAAGCTACAGTGAAATAGCAGGATAGTTTTTACTTAATGATACCAAAATACTTAATTCATGTTAAAAAGAAATATATTTGCAATAAAATACATATTTTCATTCAAAATTTCCAATCCTTTATGTGTTTTTTTCTCTCACTGTAACTGGTCAGTACAGGTAACAAAATTATCCTTTCAAAATAATTTGCGATAACTTGCTCGTACCTCCAGCTGTTTTTGGTTTTCTAGATGTTTTTGGAGCTGGCTGTGTGGGGATTGTTGCCTGTTTACCTGGGGATTTCGATGTAGGTTTACCATCTTTATGTGGACCATTAACATACAGTGAAAAACCCTGCTCTCTCCTCTCTTGATCTATCTTGTTCTTGTCTTTCTGTCTGAGTCGCTTCAATAACCTAAAAATGTTCAAAACATTACACAAAAAATTAAATTTTTATATTTATAAAGATAAAGATAAAATCATCATCAAATGTGCTCCATTCATATACAGATCTTACAGTTACTCAGCTCTTTCTTTAATGGAATTTGAGTACTTATCCTATTGTGAATTTTACATTACTGATAATGAATTTTAAGGATTCAAGTCAATGTTATTTGGTTATTCATTTAAAGTATGTTACTAAGAACTACAATTATAGGATTCAAATGAAGTGAAGCATGCATTAATACTTACATTGAATAAATTCATTGAATCCAAATCAACAACACCTAAATGGACTTTGATGAGATTTTACATGAAATATTTCCTGATTAATACACACATTCAAGCCAAGATATATTAAAATCAGTGCTCTTTTTCAAAAATACCTAAATGATTCACAAATGGCCATAACTTAAAAATGCATGATTTTTACCGCATCATTTTCTTACTATCATATTCATTCAAGCAGAGTTTCATTATAAGCTTATAAAGTACTTAAAAATATGGCTTTCGAAAACTAGTAAAAAGGGCCATTCTTAATTCCAATGGGTTCATTTTGATGGCACTTATTAAGCCTTATATCCTTATTCAGAATATAATACATTCCTAATTTCCTACCAAGTTTCAAGAACATATTTTGATTTTACCAGGAATAATAATTCCTGGTGTTAGATAATTCTAAGAAAGTTACCTGTTCCTTTCCTGCAACAGTACAAGATATTCTTCATAACCTGGCAAAACCTCCTCCTTTGCAGCTTGTACCTATAAATAGACATAAAGTATTTCAGTATAACATTAATTAAACATCTTCTAGAAATGTTTATGATATAAATTCTGTTAAAGACCTTAAAATCATAACTGTTCCTTTTTTGCATAAATATTCAAAACTTGAACAGAATCTGATATTGGTATATCTTAAGTTTGAAAGTTATAGTTAATTTCTTTAAAGAAAATTACATGAACCAAAGAAACTATCTTACTACCATAAAACTATTTTGACTACAGGTTTGACAAATGAAGTGTATAGGCTTCATAAAAAAAATACATGTACATATGTATGTGAAAACAACAAACAATATAATAATGGAGATATTCAGTAAAATTGCTATCTTTATAACATAATTATTATGTGATTTCCATCAAAAATTGGGTTATTGTTAGATGCACCATCTATGTAACTTACCAAAGGAGAGTCCTCCTGTTTCCCGGATTTTTTCCTGCCTCCTGAAATTCAAAACAGGTTAAATGATTAAACTATTTATCAAATAGTGTTAACGTTTGAAATATACGAAATAACAACATGTAATAATCAAACATACATAAAGCATTTTTTTTCATGTGAGATTGCTTGTTCTCCATGTTATATAACTATTACTTGTATTACATTTATAAGCATTATTTCTTATAATGTTAATTTGTTTTGTTTGCTGTTACAGATAATCCACACAATTCTCGTAATTCGGACCCATTTAGTCGTCTCTTACAATCTGATCATACAGGGATAAACAGCGCCTGCAACACTGATGCCTCAACCCTTAAAGGCAACCCGTGCTTGACTATTTCAATTTGTGATTGGAACCCACCCTGATGATTATCAGCATTAGCCATTCAGAGTCTCCTTTTTGCATGAGGGTGAATCAATCGACCGCTTATAATGGTCCTTGGAATTTCTTAATTTAATAATCACTGTTTGTACTGTATATTCATTTGAGTACTTGACTGAATTTCCCCGTAGAATTTACTGCTTGTCATATTGGACGAGTTAAGTATCAACAAAGTAGAAGACCGCTGACATGTACATAATTAATATTTTTACATTTCACAAAAGAAAACTGGAAACCAAGGATAGTTTGGGCATGTCTGAAATACTCAGTACATGAATCACTGATGGGCACTTTCTATTTATGCTCCCATAATGCTTGTTTAAAACACATACCCCAAAATATTATTGGTTTTCCTTTGTTAATATGAACATATGACCTGTGGTCTTTAACTTGAATCTGTAAGACAGCGAGATTACAAAGCAGAATCACCAAAACAACAACCTGTTTAAAACACCCTTTCATAATTTGATAATTGCACCAAACAGACCCAATATAGTTTGTAAATTACTTCCGTTAGTAATGTAGAAGGCCAAAGGCACAGTCTATATTGAACAGTGTACATGTATATGAAATGTTTAGGATGATATTGATAGTAAGGCCATTTTTTTTTTATCAGTGGTTTACTGATTTTTTCCAAAAAAGGTAGTGTCAGAGGAGGGAAAAAAAAGAGTTTTCATATCTTAATCCCTGGAAGGTGAGATACGTTGTAAGTATCTCTTCTCTTATAATTAGACCATCCAAATTCTGATAAATGTGGTGTGTATATAGTACTTACTAGAGAAATGAAATGACCGATTATCTAAATTCCACACTGCTTATAAATACACAAAACATCATTTACATGTGTGAAAACAAAATAGCATCCACAAATTGATAAAATATCATGTTGCTATTATTTAACAAAACACATGAAATCTACAAACAAGATGACCTTGTCGACCCTTCAAAAGAGTTGGTTAATCTTTGATGTTCAAACACATGTAGTCCCAGTTGTTTAATCTGAATCAACTCAACTGACTTGCACTCATTTATTTATATATCAGAAGTTAAACAAGAAGCGCAGCAATGCGATGAAAACCAGGCTTTTTTAACAACCAAGTTTTGATGTGACAGCAATCAATAGGTCAAAGTGCACTGAAGTTATTGAGTAGAAGCTGAAAATTCTATTGTAAGCAAATGACCTTGAACTTGTTCCCAGATATCTAAGTGGCAATCCAAAGCAGCCACACAGCAAGTTTAGTGTCAAAAGGTCAAAGCAAACTCAAGTTATTTAATGAAAACTGAATACATTGACCTTGATCACAGACACCTGGGTAGCAATCCCAAGCTGCCTCTTGATATAAGCTTCACATACATCAAGTTTGGTGTCAATAGGCCAAAGTAAACTCAAGTTATTGAGCTGAAACTGAATTTCTTTTTTAGTAACAGTGACCTTGATAACAGCGCCTGGAAAGCAATCCCTAGCTGCCTCTTGATATAAGTTAACCATACACCAAGTTTGGTGTCAATAGGCCAAGGCAAACTCAAGTTATTTTAAAAACTGTCAAGAAAAGATTTATGATTACACATGTTAAATTACTGCCCAAGTTAAAAAAAATTTCAATCGGATAATTAGCGGGTCAATCACTGACAGATGTAAATTATTAATCATACTGTAACTGTAAGTGCATTATTTTTTGTTGAAAGAAAACCCATATTCAATCTCCTTTAAAAGACTAATGTTTTGTTAAATCTGTAAATCTTGTCACTACATTTTGTTTTAAATCTAATTTAATATCTCGCTCTATCCTTGAATGTGATTACTTGCGTATTTTGGCTTTTTTTCTTTCTTTTTTTGACATTTTGACGCAATTGGACCTCTGAAAAATATTATTTTATACATATATACATGAAATATTTTTTAAATATATAGCGGATTTATATAAGCAGATATATACATTAAACTTACCATACTTACATGATATAAGCCTAATTAATTTGACAAGAACAGTTTGACCCATTTTACAGACATTTTTTTTCATACTACATGCAAAATACATAGCCGTCAAAAGTTATCTCGACGTTTTTTTGACAAGTCTAATAAGTAATAAGTTGGATTTCTATAATTCTTCGACAGGACATATTATTAATCAGTGTTAATATCTAAATTTAATTAGCAGTGTATTTCAATGCAGAATTTTTGGGGGCAAATTTTTTTTTGCATGTAAAAAATAATGGCCTTTTAAAGTAAAAGATAGATAAAATACAGAATTAGATATAAAGTTTTGGTCCACCAAGTCAAGGTCTGTCCTGTTATGAAACCATGTCCAACACGTCTGGATTTAAAGTTGGCGGTACATTCCGTCTTGTCCTATCGGGCCATTTCGATAAACAATATTAAAAATAATTTTAATAAATATTATTCTCCTGGAACCAAAATCCAGTGACGTCACTGATTGGAGTCGGCGACAAACTCAGATCGCGGGAAATAATCAGAAAATGTTGAATTATTCCTATATAGCTATGTGATTAAAAAAGTTATCGGTGGTGTTTGTCTGTTTGATGCATTTATGTATTGTTTATCGAAATGGCCCGATAGGTTATTTTGATCCGTTGTTATGTTGATTTGTTTGGCGTAAATAATGTTGGGGTGGGGAAAAGGCGTTTCATTCCTTGTGTTTATTTATACTGTATAGGGGGTATATTTTGGATATTATCATTAATATTGATAGAAGTTCAAGTGCCTGTGAGAGATGCTATAGTTTTGACTTTGGGATGTTTAGACCTGATTTTTGAAAAGTATATAACCATAAAAAGCCTCTAGTAACGTAATCTCAATCCTTAGTGATCTATACTGACCTATTTTTTTACAACATAAGACGAACATCATTCAAATTATCATGAGAATGCAGGGCCTTTTTACCCTTCTTTGCTGTAGCCGGTATCCGGCTACTTCCCCAAGCCAAATTACTACCTTTTTTCCCCAAAAAACAGTCTAAAATTCCCCTTCTGGCAAATATTTCCCCTTTAAAAGAAAAGACAAACTGAAGAATAAAACTTGTAAACAAACTTTCTTGTTTAAAAATAGATAGTTGTTTTGTCCAATGAAAGCTAATAATTCAATTACCCAATAGAGGGCTACCTTGATTTAATACAATTGATGTTAACTCAGAGCCTCTGTCTGAGTTTGCAATTTTCTAAAAACAGCATTGGAAGACCCCACTGCCTTATTTTTTAGTGCACATGTGATTTTTTACGACAAGATGGCGACCGATTTACGATATCGCTAATGTAAACAATGTCACAGAACAAGAAGAAAATACGATTGAGTGACGTTTGTAATTGTATATTAAAAATTGGATGAATTGATGACAGATCTTGTAAGTGCAACAGAATCCAATACATGTATCCCCTAGCAAGCCCATGTGTCCGAGTAGCACAACATGCCCAACTGTCAGAAATAGCGAGCCTAGCCAACAGTGCCAGTAATACAGTGGGAACTGATAATAATGTACCCTCTGAATCAAACCAAGAACCCTCACATGACCTATGTAAAATTCTATAATGAGGAAATGTGAGTTAATATAAAGGGGCAATGAATTGATCTGTAAAAAATGTCTTTTACTCATGTTGGACAGAAAGCTTAGTACTATAGTAAACCTTAAATGTGATTGGAGGAAAATATGCAAATAGATTATGATATTCCCCCAAAATGTGTGAAAATATGATATTTTCCCCAAAAGTGTGAAAATCGCGCATTTTTCCCCACAAAAAGGGCTAGGGCGCCTTCCCCAAAACTAGTGAAAAGGCCCTGGAATGAAACAAATCACTGACAAATTATTGAATAGTTAAACATGTTAAATTAGTTTTGAAAGCAATTCAAATGTTGTGCATCTGCAATAAAGACGTTTAAAAAGCCACCTACTATCCATTTCAATATTACTAGGCGGAAGAAGTATCTTTACACAACTGTCCAAATGTACGACAAAAATCAAGTAACCAAGAAATATTTAAACATGTTTGCACACAGAAGAATTTTTGTCCGCCATCATTGCTCAGGTAAATAAGACATGCGCAATCAAGACTTCCTGAATCAAAATGCCCATATCCCGTACTTATACCGGAAAGACAGACTATTCTCTCCCCCAAACCGTTTCCTCCCCCAAATTTGAAATATGCAGACAATTAATTCTCCCCCATTTTTTTATCAGTTTGTCTCAATCTAATAATATTTCTTAATGAAGATTATTAAAAGAATGTGTCTGTCTGTCTGTCTGTCTGTCTGTATCTATCTATCTATCTATCTATCTATCTATCTATCTATCTATCTATCTATCTATCTATCTATCTATCTATCTATTTATCTATCTATCTATCTATCTATCTATCTATCTATCTATCTATCTATCTATCTATCTATCTATCTATCTATCTATCTATCTATCTATCTATCTATCTATCTATCTATCTATCTATCTATCTATCTATCTATCTATCTATCTATCTATCTATCTATCTATCTATCTATCTATCTATCTATCTATCTATCTATCTATCTATCTATCTATCTATCTATCTATCTATCTATCTATCTATCTATCTATCTATCTATCTATCTATCTATCTATCTATCTATCTATCTATTTATCTATCTATCTATCTATCTATCTATCTATCTATCTATCTATCTATCTATCTATCTATCTATCTATCTATCTATCTATCTATCTATCTATCTATCTATCTATCTATCTATCTATCTATCTATCTATCTATCTATCTATCTATCTATCTATCTATCTATCTATCTATCTATCTATCTATCTATCTATCTATCTATCTATCTATCTATCTATCTATCTATCTATCTATCTATCTATCTATCTATCTATCTATCTATCTATCTATCTATCTATCTATCTATCTATCTATCTATCTATCTATCTATCTATCTATCTATCTATCTATCTATCTATCTATCTATCTATCTATCTATCTATCTATCTATCTATCTATCTATCTATCTATCTATCTATCTATCTATCTATCTATCTATCTATCTATCTATCTATCTATCTATCTATCTATCTATCTATCTATCTATCTATCTATCTATCTATCTATCTATCTATCTATCTATCTATCTATCTATCTATCTATCTATATAGACTGCAACACCCTCTTACGAAAATTATGTGTCTGTGTGGGAGTTTAAAAGAAAAATGTAAAGGAGAATAAAAATAATACTGTACATGTATAAAAAATTTGTGAGAGTTGAAATAAAAAGTTGATAGTGTTAGTTAAAAAGAGAAAGTATACAGCTAAAACAGATAAAAAAAATATTTTCATTTCAAATACGAAGGGGAAGAGTGGTCACTCCCTGTTTAAACTGGTCCATGGGACGTAACGATACGTGTATGTTACATATCTTACGAGCTAATAAGTCAGCAATGGTAAAACAGCTGCAAAACGATTATATAATAGCACAATATCAGAAAACAAGCAGCTATATAAAACCTACATGAATATTAATTTTAGAATCTTGATAACAAACATGAAAAACCCTACAACAGTACTTACAAAAAGAAGATGTTACATTAATTCAAACAGGTAATTGAATATCAATAAAAATTGTTATCAATAAAAATATTTTAGATCTTATAAAGATAACATTAAACATCACGTTACATTTAATTGAATGTTAGGTCTATACCTTCTCTGTCATAAAATTAATCAGAAGAAACCATTTAATATGTATTTTTCCAAATGAATACTTGTATGTGTACACGCCCTTGCTTGTCTGAAAGTCCGATTTTTTCTGGAAAACTGAGAATTTTAAAATGTATACCGGAATTTTTAAATTGGGTGATGTGAAAAGGCATCATATCTTATACCAGCGTTAAAGGATGAAAAATGGTTAAGATAATTGTAATGCATTAAAAATATACACATTATACCAATTACATGTACATATTATAAAGTGTATAAAAAAACACCATATTCGAGAGCCAGCCGTCAAAACACCATTAACCTGATTCCATTACAAATTCGTTTTTGTACAACTTTGGAGGGTCTACTTTGTACAAAATGAGCAGCAAGACCCTAACACAAACAATATATTCTGGAGATTTCCGCATGGCATGGTCATTTTGTAAGGGACGATTTGTTCTTTGTCTTTAAAAACACCATATTCTAGAGCCAGCCGTCAAAACACCATTAGTGTGATTCCGTTGTACAACTTTGGAGGGTTTACTTTGTACGAAATAAGCAGCACAACCCTAACCCAAACAATATGTCATGGAGATTTCCGCGTGGCATGGCCATTTTTGTAAACGACGATTTGTTCTTTGTCTATATAAAGTGTATAAAAAACACCATATTCTAGAGCCAGCCGTCAAAGCACCAATTGTCTGATTCCTTTGCAAATTCGATTTTGTACAACTTTGGAGGGTCCTCTATGCACAATTAAAGGACTAAAGCCATAACCCAAACCATATGACCGTAAGATTTCCGCGTGGCATGGCCATTTTTGTAAACGACGATTTGTTCTTTGTCTTTATAAAGTATATAAATCAAAGCACAGAAGGCGCTGAATTTGTTTGGGTCTCAGAATGTCAGAAAGGTGAAGGTTGTGAGATTATAAAACAATTTGTTTTTGTATAGTACCACCAATGCTTTCCAGCGTTTTAATTGTAGTAGATTGGCTATAAATCTAATTGCAACACTGATATTCGATCCAATGTTTATTTGACTTAAACAATTAAAAAAAAATTGCCTTAACTGGGATTTGAACTCAAGACCTCTCGCTTCCTAAGCGAGCGCGCAAACCCCTCGGCCACGGCCTGAGAAAACCATATTATTCTAGTTAGGGTTTGTAACGACGCTAACTGTTGTTTAACACTTGTGTAAATAATCATGGCGCTTACTATAAGCATGTATATCTATAAAGAATAAAGCAATATTAGAAATCTTCGACCATTTGGGAATTATTTTGCTTGAAAATATATCCGCCTGTCATGTGACCATATTTACGCAGTGATCTCCCCTAAATTTTTCGGCCTAAGTGTTACATATAAAGGGAAGTAACCGCTTCAAAAAAGCGGACTACTTTCGGCACTTGCAATTAACAGCATTAGAGTCTGAAATTCCGCTACCATTATTTGTTTGGTCTGACGACCCAAACAAATAAAAACACTATATTTTACAGCCAGCCGTCAAAACACCATTTGTCTGATTCCTTTGCAAATTCGTTTTTGTACAAGTTTGGAGGGTCCTCTATGCACAATATGAGGACTGAAGCCCTAACCCAAACAACATGATCGGAAGATTTCCGCGTGGCATGGCCATTTTTGGACCGGCGATTTGCTGTTTTCGATATAAACATAGCTTAACTGAAAATTTGCAAAACAAAATCTTTCTGAAACTGTGTTTTACCAGTTATTTTGATCGATCACAACTTCATAAGAATGTTATTGGTGGTCTGTCACATAAACGCGCTTTAGAGCAGGGTCTTAAAGAAATTGACGTCATGCACAGTTGGCCTTTGTAAAATGAACGCTACGTACTTAAAAAAAAAGAAAAAAAGTGGAATAATCAAGACATTGTGATGGTTTAGAGGGTCTTCTTCACAGCAATATAAGGCTCAGGGACTAGCTGCCGCAGGGAAAATGACAGCAAGAGGTCCGCATAAAATTGTCGATTTTTGGACCGGCGATTAGTTGTAAAAAAGCTTAAGAAATTTCGTAAAAATAGCCATATTCTACAGCCAACCATTTAAACACAATTTGTCTGATTCTGTTGCAGATTCGTTTTTGTACAACCTTGGAGGATCTTCTTTGCACAAAATGAGGATCAAAGCCCTAAACTAAATAATATGTCCGTGAGATTTCCGCATGGCATTGTCATTTTTGCACCGGCGTTTTGTTCTTTCTCAATATAAAGTGCATATTTTTTCTTAAAATACACCATATTCTAGAGCCAACCGTTAAAACACAATTTGTCTGATTCCAATGACGATTCGTTTTTGTACAACTTTGGAGGGTCTTCTTTGCACAAAATGAGGAACAAAGCCCTACACATAAAAAATATGTCCGTGAGATTTCCGCATGGCATGGTTATATTTTGCATCGGCGTTTTGTTCTTTCTCTATATAAATTGAATGATTTTTCGTAAAAAAAAACACCATATTCTAAAGCCATCCGTTCAAACATCATTAGTCTGATTCCGTTACAAATTCGTTTTTGTACAACTTTGGAGGGTCTTCTTTGTATAAAATAAGCCTCAAAACGTTAACCCAAACAATTTGTCCTGGAGATTTCCGCATGGCATGATCATTGTTATAAAGGACGATTTGTTCTTTGTCTATAAAAAGAGTATAAAAACCCATATTCTAGAGCCAGCCGTCAAAACACAATTTATCTGATTCCGTTACAAATTCGTTTTTGTACAACTTTGGAGGGTCTTCTTTGTACAAAATGAGCAGCAAAACCCTAACCTAAACAATATGTCCTGGAGATTTCCGCGTGGCATGGCCATTTTTGTAAACAACGATTTGTTCTTTGTCTATATAAAGTGTATAAAAACACCATATTCTAGAGCCAGCCGTCAAAACACCATTAGTGTGATTCCGTTACAAATTCGTTTTTGTACAACTTTGGACGGTCTACTTTGTACGAAATAAGCAGCACAACCCTAACCCAAACATTATGTTCTGGAGATTTCCGCGTGGCATGGCCATTTTTGTAAACGACGATTTGTTCTTTGTCTATATAAAGTGTACAAAAAACACCATATTCTAGAGCCAGCCGTTAAAACACCATTTGTCCGAATCCATTGCAAATTCGTTTTTGTGCAACTTTGGAGGGTCCTCAATGAACAATTTAAGGACTAAAACCCTAACCTAAACAATATGTCCTGGACATTTCCGCATGGCATGGTCATTTTTGTAAGGGACGATTTGTTCTTTGTCTATAATATTATTATAAAGTGTATAAAAAACACCATATTCTATAGCCAGCCGTCAAAACACCATTAGTCTGATTCCATTACAAATTCGTTTTTGTACAACTTTGGAGGGTCTACTTT